TAAAAGGAATAAAAAATTCAACAGTATATAAAAAAGATCCAATCTGAAAATAGGCAAAACCAAACTAAACCCAAAAACACATGAAGAGGAAGCACAGATACCAAACAAGAAAAGCTGCTAAGCGCTGTCTGCCATCAGGAAAATGCAAACCGGACCCACAGCAAGAAACCCACCACGTCCAGGGGACATGAAACACACCACCAGCAGCAAATGACGCAAGGACAGGGCGAGGATGTGGCGAGGACACGGGGAGGACCCGGGCCACTCAGAGCCGGCTGCAGGACGTGTAAAATGGCCCCGTAACTCTGGAAACAGGTGGTAGTTTCTCCTAATTTGACAAACCTCACTACCATGCCGTTGTTAGGTGTCGCGGACCTGCAGGACCGAAGGCAACTCTGCACAACAGGACGTCCTGAGGACGACAGTCACTGCTGGGCCTGAGCCACTACGAGGTGCTGATGGCGTAACCCACTGAGGGTTGTGCTGCTAACCCGAAGACCGTGCCCCTCTAAAGGTCCCACCAGGAGCCCCAAGGAGACAGGTAGCTGTCTCCGCCCATGATTTTACAGCCTTGGAAACCCAACGGAGGATCACCTAAGAGTTGGTTCTGACTCTATTAGTAATAAAAGATGGAAAGAAGAGTGGATCCAAAACCCAATGCAACCCACACCGTCGGGTCAATCTAGACTCTCAGTGACTCTGCAGGACCCCATGGGGTTGCCAAGACTACATTTCTGGAAGCAGACGATCTTATTCTTCCCAGCAGCTGGCGGTTCAAACTGCTGACCTTTCAGTTTGCAGCCAAACACTTAACCCATAGTACCACCAGGGCGCCATGGAAAATTGGATAGTAATTAAAAACCATGTCTATTAATACGGAAGACATAAAAGTTCCTGCCTACATGCACTGATTGAGGAGACCATGGCCTGAATCAGGCACACCTTAGTCTTCACCTGCTATGCATCTGAGAGCTGGACAGTGAATAAGGATGACAGAAAAAGAACTGATGCCTTTGAGCTGTGGTGCTGGAGAAGGGCACTGAGCATCCCATGGACGGCAATGAGAACAGGTATATCTTGGACAGAATGCAGCCAGTGCTCCTTGGAGGCAAAGATGACAAAGCTTCACCTCACATACTTTGAACTTGTTGCTAGGGATGGGGTGACACAGTGACTGTGGCAACAAGCTCAGTGTGTCAGACGTGATGAGGACGGCGAAGGCCGTACTTGACTTCACACCACCTCACAACATGCACACTGGGAACAGGTTATAACTGGCTTTACTAAAATACACATAATGCTTTTGATTCAACCAAAGCAAAACCCCACTACTGTTGCTGTAATTCTGACTCACAGCGACCCTGCACCGTTTTCCAGGACCAGAAATCCCCATGGAAGGAAAATGGCCTTCTCCCTCAGAGCAGCTGGTGGATTCAAACCACTGACCTTTTAGGTAGTAGCCCAACATGTGAGGCCCTATGCCACCAGAGGGTTCTGATTTTGATACAAAACTATGCTTTTAACAGTCTCTCTGCCTCTGGGGTTGAAATACAATGGGCACCGCTTAGCTGAGTCCCTAGCCTTTGATACCTGCCTGGCTGAGGGGGAGGGAGGCTGTGAACACAAAATGCAGCTCTTTGGCAGAGAAGGAGAAACAGACTCTGGAGACAGCCGAGTGCACTTTCCCCCAGAAGAGGGGGTTTCTGGACCCAGAGCCAATCCTCGTGAATCACTGGGCACCGGCCCTCCCGGCTCCCAGCCTCTGGCCAGCGCTGACTCAGAAGGAGCCTTTTCAAAGAGGTGAAAAGGAAAGGGGTGTTTTCTCATTCAAATGACTTTCTTCCAGTCAGGAGCTAAAAGAGACCCTTCTACTCAAAGTGAAATATTCCAACGGCAGGGACAGGAAGTGCCAGGCTGCTGGGGCAGTGCTGGGAGGAGGCAGGCTAGGGTCTGGGGTCCCAGCACCCAGTGTCCACAAAGAAGTTCCTCTACCCCGGGCCACACTTCCTCCTGGTTGATGGGAAAGAAGTGATGGTGGCCCTAGAGTGGAAGACTGATGGTGAGGAACGTTCCGTGTCGTGTTGCTCACCACAAGGTCAGCAGTTAGAATCCAGCAGCTACTCTGAGGGGCCAAGAGGAGGCAATCTCTTCCCACAAAGATTTAGAACATCAAAGACTTGAGGAAGGGTTGTCAGGAGTCACCATGGCCTGGGGGACAATGGGTTTCAGCCGCTTAAAGGAGTCCTGTAAAGGAGTCCTGGTGTCGTCGTGGTTATGGCATTTGACTCCTAAGGTAGAGGCTGGTGGTTCACACCCACTAGTCACCACAGAGGGATATATGGTCAGCTTCCACAGAGATTACCACCTCTGAGGCCAGCAGGCCAGTTCTACCGGGTCCTCCAGGGTCGCCAGGAGGCAGAATCAGCCTCATCGTGGAGGGTGTGGTCTGGTACTCTGGGAACGGCTCATACAGTTAAGTGCTGGGGCCCTCACCAAAGGCTGGCAGTTGGTGCCCACCCTGAGTGACTCAGAAGAAAGTCCTGGCCATCTGCTCTGAGAGGTCTCAGCCAGGAGGCTCTGTGCTGACACATCAGGGACGCCCTGAGTCACAGCCCTCTCACCGGGAACTGCTTTCCTGCTAAATTTAACCCCGGGGGCCCATAAACCCCAGAGTCCGGCCACGGGTTTCCTGGTCTGACAGATTTCCTGCTACCTCCGCTCCTGGGCAGCATTCCATGAGCCTGCAATTCGGTTCCCCCACAGGGGAGGGAGCTTTCGAAACAGAGAGGGGGTGAAGATAAGGAAATGATAAAGAACAGAGAGGGGAAAGTGAGCTGGGGAGGGAAGACCCGGCCCAGGCATCTTCATCCTCACCCTGTTCTCGGTAGAGTTCCTTCTTTGAGGTGTTACCAAGAGTGATGGTGGCACACGGTCAAAGCATTCTGAGGCTCACCAAAACGATGGCAGTCTGAACCCCCCAGCCACTCTGCGGGAGGAAGACGAGGCTTCTGCTAAGGGCCTTTGTGTGGCCTCTGAGCCACAGCGAATGGCAACCCTGCACAGCCCTTTCCAGCCTCACTACCTACGACGCTCTTATGTCCACACTTAAAAGTCACATCAGTCCACCTCACCGAGGGGCGGTAGGAGCAGGGACTTGGAAACGCCAGGGCAGTTCTACGCTGTCCTACTGGGCAGCTGTGGGTCAGTTTTGGACTTGACAGGACCAACTGGACTTGGCACCAAAGAACATGGAAAGAGAAGTCGGATCATCAGCGAGGCCTCTCCCTGTGTCCTGGTTCAAACACCAGGCTACGATGCTGCAGAGGAGGCTCGACCACGGATTGGGTATCTGACTGTACTTCAGGGTTGATGGAGAACCCTGGCAGCACAGTGCTTAAAGCACTTGGGGGGGGGGGTGTCGCACGCCACTCAGTCTTGTCCCAACCCGCCAGCAGCTCTCCGGGAGGAGGAGGAGGCTTCTCTCCTGTAGACAGAGATGTGCAGCCTTGGAAACTCTCTGGGGCAGCTCTACTGCCCTACAGGGGCACCATGCGTCAGAGTCCCCTCAATGTGCAGCGAGTATTCACTCCAAAAGAAGGCCTGGTGGCACACTGGTCAGACCATGAACTGACCCGTCTCAGGCAGCTGCTCCCCGGGAGGAAGACATGGCGGGTCTGTGAAGATTTACAGCCTTGGAAACGCGCCCTGCGGGGCTGCCGTGACTCAGAGGCAGTCCAGGGCAGGGGGTTTGGTTGTGTGGGTTTCCATGTCCATTCCCACACACGACAACCCCACGGGTCGGAGAAGGGCTCCACATTTACCAAGCCGTGCCCTTTCAGACACTGGTCCCCAGGCCTTTCTTCTGAGGCATCTCTGGTAGACAGAAGTTGCCAATCTCTCAACTAGAAGTCTAGTGATTTTACCCTCTCCGCCACTCGGAGATTTTCCTGAGTGACAGAAAGGAGTGATAATTACTTCTGAGATCTGACACCAATTGTGCTTTTAAAACAAGTTCTTCTCTTTTAGAGACGCCCATGATATTATTTCCAAATGTAAATAGAGGCTGTCTGAACCTTGCTTCAACAACGGAGTGGGACCCGAGTGCGGGGACCGGACGGAACAACATGGGTCCCATGGACGATTGCCGGACGGCCTTTCCACTCGCTCTAGTTCTGACCCTCTGACATTTTCCTTGTGAGATACGTAGCTGGACAGATGCACGACTGGCCTCCCCTCCAGCCTGCACCTTTCTCTCTAAAGTCCCTGAAGGACAGGGTCTGGGGAGGACACACCTCCTGGGGGCCTCCCTGACGAGCGGTGAACCATGTGCTGGGGTGCACAAGGTGAGGGACCCAGGGGGGTGGCACAGCCCTACCTGCTGACCAGTGAGGGAGGGGCTGAAGGGGTGTCCCCCAGGGTTACCTCCCCTGCCCACAAGCCTGGAGGGGGCTGACCCAGCCTCCTCAGCTGCCATCAGATATGGAGGGACAAGCGGGGTACCCTGAGGTCCCCTTTGCCAACGGTGTGCCCCTTAGGGGTTTCTTCCTCGCCCTAACTGCTGACAAGCGTGGGTGGGCCCAAGGTGCCCCAGGGTCCTCCTACCTGCCTACAGGTATGTAACAGCATGCGCCCCCAGGGCCCCTCGACCGGCCTTACCAGTCCACAGGTATGCGGGCAGAAGGATCGCCCTCCGGCGGCTCCCCCAACCTGCTGACAGGTGTGGGGCGGCGGAAATGGCAGGCGCCCCGGGGTCCCCCTACCTGCCCACCAGCCTACAGGTGTGCGGGGCGGGGGGGTGGCCCGGGTCCCCTACCTGTCGGCAGGTGCGCGGGGTGCCTGGGGTCCCCCTACCTGCCCACCAGCCTACAGGTGTGCGGGGCGGGGGGGTGGCCCGGGTCCCCTACCTGTCGGCAGGTGTGTGGGGCGGAAGGCGCCCGCGGAGCCCCCCTACCTGCCCTACCTGCCGACAGGTGTGCGGCGCGCCCCGGGTCCCGGCCCACCTTGAGGATGTTGTCGAAGATGGTGTCCCGGAACTCGAGCAGCGCCTTCTGGTCGAACTCGCGGCCGTGGATGATGCGCATCTGCTTGAGGAAGGTGGACTTGCCGCTCTCGCCCGCGCCCAGCAGCAGGATCTTGACCAGGCGCCGTACGGCGCGCCGCTCGCGGGCCAGCAGCGCGTCGATGT